ACTATTTCCATGACGTTGTTATTTAAATGGAGGCAGTTATAGTTTATTATTGGCTTAGCTTTGCTAGGGAAGCTTCTAGAACATTGCGTTTTTTTCGTTCATGTCCTATAAGCCCGGTGTACTCGTATCGAGTGAAGGGATTCCAAATTCCAATCTGCAATCTTTAAGATATCTGCCTAAAGCTGTTTTTTGAACAACTGCTGATGAAGGATGCGCGTAATAATAATAAGTCTGCAAAAAATTTTGCGTTAGGCCTAGGCCGCACTACGGTTTTTTCCCGGGAGCGGTTAACCGCTGTAACCGCGAAACCGCTTAATACGCACACACTACAATTATTAACCGCGAATTCGCCCGCGATTTTCGCAGTTTGAAGATGGATAAACTTCAAAAGAGCAGTAGCAGTGTGGCTCTGGTACTAAGAAATAGTTATAAAGACAACGAAAATTTTACAAATGTTGGGTCTATCCACTTTCTAACCGTAAATTTGAGAAAGGTTTCTTTCATAAGAAATATCGAAATTTAAGAAAACCCCTAGAGAAATTTTTCAATTACTATCGGATGTCAGTAGCCAGTTTCATGGAAACAAAGTTTCGCAAATGTATTTGACATTTCAAAAAAACCGCCCGCGGTTACGCATAGTGCGTGCACGGGTACCTAGTTCTATGGATTACAAATTTTGTTGCGGTTTTTTTCCGCGACAATTTTGTAACATTTCGCGGTTTTAAAATCAGTCGCGGGAAAAAACCGCAAGTGCGGCCGCTTGTATTCGTTTTCGTGTTTCATAAGCTCACACGGTTATTAACCGCTGCGGTTTCACCGTAGTGCGGCCTAGGCCTTAGACGGTGGGCGTTGAAGGCCTGCATGTGTCTGTATCACCTGCCTATTTGTGAAGCGAAACAATTATGTGTTCTGCTTCAAAGCTATTGTTGTTCAATATGGTTGATACTTTGTCTTGAACTCTCGTGATGAAAGCTTCATTAAAACAAGATAAATTGCTTCAAAACAACAATCGCCGTGACCAAGTCGAAAGAGATTTGAATGGAACTCTAAGAATCAGCTCTTGCTAAAGACGATCTCGATTCGAAAAGGGCTTGAAGTACGGAAAATTTCTCCGTGAAGTGTGCCTAATGAGTCGACGACTGACTTTCGCGCCATTAGCCGAGCTCGTCCATTTTGACGCACGAGTAAATATTTGTCGAGGCATTGTCTGGACCCTCTGCTAATAATACCATTGTGTTACAAACGCTTACAATTTCCTGTAATTCTGAACACGCGATCAAGGCTTTTTTACGGGCTCAGAAACGTTTCGTTGTTTACGAGATGTAACGCTATTTAATGTTCTTCGGTAGTTCTTTTTGACGTTCAACAAGTATGTACTTTCATTTATGTTGAATTTTTTTTTAATTTGATTTGATTTGATTAGTTAGCACTTTTGGAATCATTCAGATAGTAATTATGATATAGAACCAATATAATATATCAAAGGACCAAGTGTGAATTGCGGTTCCATCAGGTAATTTCCAGATTTTTAAGTGTCAATCGTCAAATGTCAATCGACTTTGAATAGCAGATATTTCCTAAAAGCCTATATGACCGTAAGACTTTATTCGAAAATAATTTTATTTTTAGCATAATATTATAATAGTACTTAATAATTTCAATAATGTTTTTGTGTTAACGAGTCAGGCGTTTTGGTGAAAACTGTAAGCCTGACTTTGTATTGAATGCAATAAATAAATAAGACAAGCTATGTGAGTTAAGAAAAGTCTGAGACGTTATGTAAACCAAACATGTGCCATGGATAATCTTTGTAAAGACAGAAGAAGAAAGATAAAGAAAACTTTGCGTTATCATGATATTTAAAATTAGAAATTATTATTAGGACATTATAAAAAACCATATTACTAGCTAAAATAGTATTTAGTTGTGACTTAAAACAATGATTAATAAATTTCAGGGTCCGTTTGGCGGTTGGTGTTTGATTTTTGGTCCTTCGAGCATGAAAAATTTCTGATACATTTAAACCAAACTTGATCTCAAAAAATAGTATAACTAGATTTTGAAACCTCCATGAAATATCTAGATTATGGATAGATAAAAGAAAAGTATTTTCTTCTCTGTTCTCTGTTTCTGTTTCTTCTCTGTTTGCATTTGTTTTTGTTGCTCGTGACGAGACTTGTTACCAATTACAGTTTTTTATTCATTCTCTACTTTGTTATTCAATCGAAATTTCTTACGAGTTTTTTCTTATAAGTTGTTTTTTATGAAGAAAAGGAAACAGCAAAAATGGAAACAGTGCTGGTATCCAGCTTTACGGGCCCACTCCAGTAACTATGCCAATATATTTGTTGCGGGTTTGTACACGTTCATAAACACGTGTTATGTACCTACATATTTCTCTTATAACTTTATATCTATAAGTCTAGTTACCAACTTAAAATCAGGTGGGCTATGGCCTCGTTTACTCTGGAAAAAAAAACTGTCGGTACTGCAATCATTATAATATCATTGCTGGTTTTTCATATTATCAATAGCGCAAGTTGCAAATTGGAATTTTAAGATATACTGTGAAATTGCCACAAGGACATGCATTGAAAACATTGCGAAATAACAAAAGAACTAATCATGATATTTCGAATTTAAATTATAAAGTTTTTCCCATTGAAAACTTCAACACTATAATTTTACACGTGACTCCACATATTGTTAGTACGGGCTTTACCGTTGCAGTCTGAAATGTGTCGGCTTAATTTAAAATATTCATTAGTACGTTGAGAGCTGTAGTACTCTTAAACTGCGGTACTATTATATGTTTAAGCTGCTTAGTCTACTTTGCAGTTTGATATTTCAATTAAATTTTAACATGACTTATCATGATTCTATATTATGTAGCTATAAATGACTCCATAGAGCGCCTTGTCGTTCAGGGCAAAGTAGAAGGCACCAGACCGCGTGGAAGGTTGCCCATGTGATGGAGCGACCAGATCAAGTCGGCAGTTGGCGGCTGTTTAACTATTAAAGAACTATAAAACTATTAAAGAACATCTGTGCAATAAAGCTTACTATAAAGTCAATGATTATCTAGAAGATTGCACAAAGTGGGAATGAGTTGCTCGCTCCGGGCATTTCAATATTGTAATAATTGTTATGTTATAATTACTTATTGTAAAAATGAATATTAAAAAAAACTAATATTTAAAATAAAATAAAAAATCTAATATTTCAAAAAAAAAAAAAGACATGCCCGCTGAGTTTCTTGCCAATTCTTCTCAGGACGGAGGCTAATTCTTGTGAATTGGCGGTAATTCTTTTGACGTTCAATAAGTATGTACTTTCATTTATGTTGAATAAAACTTTTTTGATTTGATTTGATTTGATTTGCATGAGTGTACCAGACTCACCACAAACCGGGAGGAGTGGCGATCGCTCGTGAGGCGCATAACATCTGCCCACAACAATGATGCTGGATGACGACCACGACCGCTCTGACAAGAGTGATACGACATACGAAATACGAGCTATAGTTTAGAAAAACTATATAGTATACTAATGTAGCTATAGTTTAGAAGTTTAGAAAAACACATATTAACATTTAATGTATTTTATTTCTGTTCGCAATCATCTTAACAATATTTGTTTAACAGTTTTTTTCCCCTAAATTTTAATTTATTTTTTAAATTGGCATCATTGTAATCAGCAAGTCATTGCAATGTCGTATAAACAACAATTCTAATTTTATTTACAAGCTTTAATAAATATATTATTTTAATACATATAAATATAATATATATTTTACTTACTGTAGTTATTATAATTTTGATATATTTACATAATTTATACTTTCCTCAAACGTGCTTATTAGATAATTAAATGTCTTAGAAGGTAGAATGCGAAGAATTTCATTGAAGATATGAAAATGTAAAATGAGGGAAAATCGAATTAAGATTCGTTTATCATCAGACTTTGAAGTCGTTCATATAATAATATTGAGTGAAATAATTGAGAGGCTTAAACTTTATTGTTTCAAACGAGGCTTCTGCGAATCGATGATAACAAGAATGCAATTAATTAACGATCATTCTTTATGAAAAATTATAAAAAATAATCCAACAACATTACACTTTTAGATCCTTGTAACAATAATTTATTATTATATATATTATAACAACTACATAATAATATACAGTGTTCATTCAACGCAATATAATTAGTGTGCGTGGATCTTTATAATATAGAGTGGTAAAAAATAATAAACAATATATTTTCTTCGCTTTCCGCTTTTTTCCTGGCGGTAGGACCTCTTGTGAGTCCCCGCGGGTAGGTACCACCACCCTGGCTATTTCTGCCGTGACGCAGTAATGCGTTTCGGTGTAAAGGGTGAGGCAACCGTTGTAACTATACTTGAGAAATCAGAACTTATATCTAAGGTGGGTGGCCCATTTACGTTGCAGATGTATATGGGCTCCAGTAACCACTGAATACCAGGTGGGCTGAGAGCTCATCCACCCATCTAAGCAATAAAAAATATATAAAAAAACATGAAACTGCGTTTGGACACAGCTTAAAAACGAAGACTGTAAAGAGTTCGAACTTCAGAGACAACATAATGATAACAAAGAACGCTAGATTAAACAGTAAAACTAGTTTTAATTCTAAAATCATCGAAACAAATCGACAAAAATTTCGACAGTGATTTATAACATTTTCAAATCAGATTTACACAACACTACAACTGCCTTCGTTTTCTAGCACTACCCCCTTACAATCTGCTTGAAGAGGCTAGAAGACTTACAAAATAAGAGAGATCTTAATGTGTCACGATCAACGCGTCCAAAATCTGACAATAAACAATAAAACCTGTCACAGAAAAGCACGTACAAGAAACGTCATAGTTCATGTAAGCTTGCGTCGGTGTCGCTTTCAACGCCGCCCAGGAGTAGGGAGGTCTCACAGGGCTGGGAGCGGCGAGAGTCCGGCTCCGCGGGGAGGGGCGGCAGTAGTCACAGCTCTATCGGCACCGCACCCTTCCAGGTCACGCCGGCTCGCAGCAAGTGGTAAAGCCGCAGGACACACCAGATGCAAAGGCACTGAGGGAAAAGAAACTTTAATTTTTTAATACGCTATTATTAGCTTCAGACGTATGTATGTACCTATGTTAGTATGTAACGGAATCTTTGGACATGATTTTGATCCCCTTCAAAACGTCGGATTAATTTGAAATTTGGTAAATATCCTGAAAAGCACCTCCCTTTTTTTTACAATAAAATCATTTTTTCTTACACTATTTTTAATTCAAATTTATTAAAATTTATTTTCTATTTTTTAGTTGAATTTTTTATAAAAGCGAATTTTGTTAGTTTTTTTTTTAAATATTATTTATTATGTTCACTTAGGGCGCAGCCTTTAATAATGAGGTTTAAATCTTGATTTGTTGAGAGAAAATGCTCTTAAGGAATGCATGATTGCTTTTAGGCCTCAATCGACAGAGTAGAGTTAAGAGAGAGAGAGCTAATAATTTATTGACCTTCATTGATTGATTTATTCCAGAACCAGATAAAGAAAATTGAATTATTGTCAAATTATTATTAAAAAAACAGCTCGTACGTACAAATAATTACTAATTATTGCCCGTGTGGTTTATTTATTTAAAAATTCATTCCCATTTTTATTTTCACAGAAGCGAACACAGTGCATGCAGATGATAATTTTTATTCTAACCCAAAAAATAGGTATAAATTTTTTCTGGTGTGATTATTTTTTTGTACCAACATGCTGAATGATAAAAAACTGTGATGTCTACATAGCATATTTACCATACAATGTCTGTATCAGGAAAGAGATACAGATATTGTAAATTTATTGATACCAGTATCTATTTTTAGTACTTACATTTAGAAATATTCTCGGTATTAAAAATGATATTTCGGCTTTGCACATCGAGTCAAATTGCTGAAACAAAATCAACAAATTATATAAATTATAATTAAATATATACTAATTTGAAGCTATAACAGAATTGTGTAGGTATATACTACTGAACCATGCATCCGATTGACTTGAAACTTGGTATCCATGTAGAAAATACATGTAATTAATGGATAGGCTAATATTTATATGAGTGTTGGACTCCCTAATAATAATGGCAATAAATAATAATGTTAATTTTAAATGCCCAGCGAAGCGGGCGAATACTGCAAGTATTAAATAAAATTTCTGCCTGTTCTTATCGCAAAGCAATAATGATTGAAGGGTGGGACAGCCGTTTTATGATACTATTGATACTTCGACCTCATGTCTCAAGGTGTCTCAAGGTAGGCAATAAAAGTATAGTTCAACATGAACTCTTAAAGGAATATTATATAAAAAAAAATCAAACTTGCTACCTTCTGTTTGAGAAAGCTTTATTTTACTGTTTAAATAAACATAATATATTATTAGACAAACAAATAACCTTACGTAACATAACATACCTATACCATACCATAACATCACACACCTGTAAATATCAATCACCTAGTTATTATAATATAATCTCGCAAAGTTTTTGAAGATCGACCTACCCACAGAATGCACACATCCTTTTATGTAATTTTTGTTCAGTCTTCAGTTATATTTAAGAAGGAATTTTTAATCAATTTTTTATACTCATTAACTAACAGCACCATTAGTGGCGATTCATCTCAACTTCTATGATATTGCCATTAGCAAAAGTCCTTATATGGGGATTTGACAAAATAATATGGTTCCTGTTTCTGCTGTAATCTTAATATTTATGAAGAAACTCTCAATACTCAACATGTGTTCCTTCCAACTAACAAATAGAGGAAAATCCTAAAAGGAAACATTAGTCAAAGCAAAATGACGCACGTTTTTAGTGCAGATCCAAATTCAAGTTTTATAAAGTTTATTTGCAAAGCAACAAAGTTAATCTTTAATCGTTAATAGAAATACTGTCAGTAATCGGACAAAGCAAAAGAGAAAATAATTTAAATAAGCTTCCAAACATGTTTAGAAAATATTGACTGTCTAAAAAGTGCTTTTTTAATTTTTAATATGCTTTTATTAGCTTCAGACGTATGTATGTATGTTTGTAACGGAATCTTTGAACATGAGTTTGACCCCCTAAAAATGTTTACGTCTATCGGCCGTTCGTATGATACAACTTTTTTTTCGTATTCGCACCAACTTTGAAATTTTAAAAGTTTTCATGGTTTAAAAAATCGAACTCCTGGTGGAGTTCATACGCAAGTTATCAATTTTGCTAATGAAAAACGTACTTGAGAAATTTTCGCAGATCACTTGAACAGTTAAGGAATCATATTATTTTCGAAAAATCAAACCCTCAAAATTTTTAATTTTCGTAGCTACTGGCCATGGGGCGTCTTGTGAGTTCGCACGGGTTGGTACCACCACCCTGCTACCTATTTCTCCCGTGAAGCAGTAATGCGTTTCTCTTTGAAGTGTGGGACAGCCGTTGTACTATAAAACTAACTTAGAACTCATATCTCAAGATGATCAAGCACACATCTAAGCAAAAATAAAAAAAACACGTGTGGCACTCGGACACTGCCGCAGTAAAGCTATTGCATAGCATTTTTTATCAACTTATGCAATTATAAATCGACAATAATAATTTAATATTAAAACAACAATAAAATAAGACCACACTATATTTATAAACATTAACAAAAGCAAAACATTAACTGTCCCCTTCACACTCATAACCTAGACCGCGCGAGGGAGTGATAGGCAGACTTTTCATGATGTGCACGCGGCAGTGCGACGTCACGCCGTGCGCTTATTCACAAACACTACATAAGCGCAACGTGTGAATGTGTTGAACGCGAGCTACATAGTAGGTGTCAGGTTATTTTCGTTACGGAATTTCTTGATTCAGTCGCCGCGCTCAAAGCCCGCGATAAAATCTATGCAATAGCTTAAAATAAAAATTCGGGAAAAACTCCCCGTGAAAAATGTCGTACGAAATACAGACAGAATCGATCTCTTAGTAGACGCAGACCATAAATTAAAGTGTATTCGTCATTTTCTCATTCTTCTTCATTCTTCTTGTCTTGTCTTGTCATTAAATGGATAAATGTCTTCGCGAACGAAGTTAGAGAAAATATTTTACTCCAACAAATACTAATGTTTTCTATACCGCAAACAAATGAGTTCCTTGGTTACAATTAACAAGTAACAGCATCATTTACAGAGAGGGGCTGATGAGCTTAAAGTTGCGTCACTACTTTATACGTTGCGGAAATAAACAAAGGAGGATATTATCTTTATTTGCATAACGAAACAAGCGGTCTTGGCAGGAAATAGTTTAGGGTAACAGGGTGACAATGTTTCGTTTCTTTATGGACATATTATTTTACTATTTTCGTGAAATTACTGTTTCTTTTTATTTTCTACCTCCACCTTTTTAATGTATTGATAAATGTTAATCCATTTCACGCTCCACTTGCTATTGAGTTGTTGCTGATCGTAAATTATAGTCTATAGTATGTTACTGCTCGGGGACACAAAAAGGTAAATTATTATTGTAGTACATACTCTTGCGAACTCACAACAACATGACTAATTTCTTCAGTTAGTGGGTTTGATTAAAATAATAATAATATAATACTCGTAATAATTCACTGCTTCGTGATCACATAATAATAAGGTATCTCTGCCTTAGAATTTGAACAAGAAAAAGAATCTCAAAAATTAACATTGTTGAAATCAACTACGTTGAAAGTTTTATCATTCGTGAATTGTGTCACGAGCAAAATAAATATCTTATCTTATCTTATACCTTTAAACGAGCAATTCTTGTACATATATAATCTGAGTCTCGAAAACGGCTCCAACGATTTTCATAAAATTTAGTATACAGGGGATTTCGGGGGCGATAAATCGATCTAGCTACGATTTATTTTCAGAAAATGTTGTTTTATTCGTGTTTTCAATAATCAACTCTTCCCGACATCTATTGGCGAATAATAATAATAATTTTCTTAATTGAGGGCAACTAACCGCTTTAAGGACACAACAAAATGTTTGCTCTGTCATCATCTAGTATAAATTTAAAGACACGACATTTAAAAAAGAATATATTCATATTTTTCAATAGGAAACTTAATTTTGGTATATATAATATATACGCACATACTTATTACTATGAAATATGACGTTAATACTTTATTCTTGAGTACAAATTAATTAAAAACCATCAATTTGCAATCAATTCAGCACAATCAAAATCCTGACAAATTCACTCCATGATTGAAAACCTGTCACCAGCACGGTCATAATCTGTAATATTGTATTATCCAGTCTAGTTAATTTAGTTCATAATAAGTTATTGTAAATTACCTAGCGATTAAAGTATACTAGTATAAAATATATATAACTAGTCTGGCCATAAATACTGTTACATAAAAACTTTTTAATCATTTTGAATTTGGAACGCGTATATTATTATAAAAACTTCTTTCGATTTTGCCCTATTTCACATATTTTGTCGTGTTCATCATCAAATTACAGTATGGAATGGGATGTTAAAGAATTTAGGATTGCAGTGATCGCCTTACACAAAATGGGTATGGAGTCATCGGTCTTATTCCAGACACATCAAAAGCTTGGTATCAGCCGTATGTTCGTATATCTTACTATCAACAGATACAACAATACTTCGTCTGTCGAAGACCAGAAAGATCGAGGCGACTGTGTGCTGTTAGAACTACAAAGGCTCTTAATGCTGTTAAAGCCAGAATTAATTAGGAAGCAAAAAATCTTATCGCGAGAAATGAACATTCCTGCCAGGACTCTGTCGCGTATGACAAAACAAGACCTGAAGCTCAGTGGTTCTCGTCGATACGACGATACGTCGGTAGGACATGCCCTAAATCGACCTTTACAATTAAAGAGAGTGGATCGATCAAAACGCCTTCTGTCGCGATACGCAGGTGAAAGGCACAGAAATATCCTGTTTACCGATGAAACAATTTTCTCGATTGAAGAACACTACAATAAGCAAAATGATAAAGTGTATGCTCACCGTTCTAAAGAAGCTGCTCAAGTGGTCGGAAAGGTACAACATGGTCATCATCCTACGTCAGTGATGGTTTGGGGAGACGTGGACGTGGTTTGGTAGGCAGCAGCTGGCTCTGTCCCTAGCATTGCTGACGTCCATGAGCCACGGTGACCACTTATCATCAGGTGGGCCATATGCTCGTCTGCCTACAAAGGCAATAAAAAAAAACGTGTCTTATCAAGGAGTCACAAAACTCCATTTTATAAAAAAGGATTGACAACTTCAGCCAAAGTGTATCAAAATACAGTCTTCGATCATGTTGTAAAACCTCTCAGCAATAGACTTTTTAAAAATATATCGTGGACTTTCCAGCAGGACTCTGCACCTGGTCACAAGGCACGAACTACCCAAGCCTGGCTTGAAAGTTTGAAACAACGATCCGGACTTTATAAGAGCTGAAGACTGGCTCTCATCTAGCCCAGAGCTCAACCCTTTAGACTCCAAATCCTTATCAGTTTTAGAGGGCATGGCCTGCTCTAAGCGACACGGCGACATTGAGTCTCTTAAAAAATCTTTGGAGCAAACAGTGGCGAAATTTCCCTTGGAAACAGTGAGTAAGTCTATAGATTCGTGGCCAAACAGATTAAAGGCCTTTATAAAAGCCAAAGGTGGCCATTTCGAATAGAATATTTTTTTTATTTTTTGCTGAGACCTTAATAAATATGTACGTATACATTTTAATAATATTACATTACTTCATTTACAAAAAAAATGCATCTTCATTTGTAACATAACTTATGGCTGGACTAGGTATTAATGAAGTATCATTGCTTTCATCTAGTATATTATTTTCTTTTAAATTATGTAAGAGTTCTGTCTGTGTAACGAAATCTTTCAACGTCATTTTGAACTAATTTAAGACGTCCGA